GGCGGGGGCGGGGCCGGGGCTCACACTAGCGCGTAGGTGATGGCCATGCGGCCGGCAATGAGGAAGCTGACTGAGCTGGCCAGGGTTGATATGAGCAGGATGGCCTTGCTGGTTCCCGCCTGGCACTGGGGGTGGAGCCCCATGCCGAGCAACAGCGGCGCGATGGCAAAGCCGCCGCCGAGGCCAAGGCTGGGATGGGGGAGAGGGGGAAGGGGCCAAGTTGTGGTGAAGGCTTGAAGTCCGGGGCGCATGGCCGACAAGGGGACTGCTCAAACAAGCAGGCGGCAGCTCGCCGGGCTCTGAACATCGACCGCTTGGCGGCCGGCGATGCGTGCATGAGCAACCATTCACCGCGGCGGCTCTAGCAGGGGCTGCCAGGCGAAGCAGGGCGCCGCCAGCGGGCGGGCGGGCAGGCGCGCAGGCGGGAGATCTGACGGGCGCTCACCAGCCGCCAAGCACGCCGATCAGCAGCATGGCCAGGTTCTTCTCGATGATGTCGCGCGGCCGCCACTGGATCGCCTCCCAGTTGCGCCGCCGCAGCGCCTCGCGCTCCGCGGCGCGCGCCGCGCGGCGCTCGGCGCGCGCCTGCTTCTGGGCGGCAGCGGCGTCTGCGACGGGCGCCACGGGCTTGCTCTCCTCGGACGCGTGAGCCTGCTGCTGTTGCTTTTGATCATGGTTTTGGGGCTCCTGCTGGTGCTCAGCGTGCTGACCGTGTCGCTGCTGGAAGCTGCGGTTGAAGCGTGTGACGACGACGCTCGCGCCCACCGCTAGTATGACAGTGACGCCGATGCGCGCGCCGAGCAAACCGTAGAATCCCCCCGTGCAGGGCTGGACGACCGCGCGCTGCAGCACGCTGAACGCGAGCTGCTGCGCGAGCACCGCCAGCGTCAGCACCATCAGCAGCGCGGGCTGCCGCGCCGCCCACGCGCGCAAGCGGGCCGGAAGCGCGCCGCGCCGCCCCGCCGCCGGCCCCTCGGCGCCGCTGCCCGCGGGTGGAGACACAAGGATGACCTTTGCGTCGGCCGCCACGACCACGCTCGCGCCGGACGCGGCGCCGGTGCTGACCGGCAGCCGGCCCGACAGCCTCGCTGCCGAGATCGCGCGGAGCGTGGACACCGGGTCGCCGCCCGCGTGGTGGGCGGCGGCGTCGATGGCGTCCATCAACATGAGGGTGTCTGCGTCGCTCGTGAACGCCCGCGACAGCGCGCCCGACAGCGGGTAGTCGTCCAAGGCGGCCGCCTCGAGCGCTCTGACCTCGGCATCCAAGGCGCGGAACGCCTCCAGATCGTCCGCCATCGCGTCCTCTGGCGCGGCCCCGCTGGCCGCGGCGCCGAGGGAGCCGCGGCGGCCAAGCGCGCCGGCGACGAGCGCGGCGGCGGCGGCGCGGACAAGCTCGGGGTCGCCCTGCTTCTCAATGCTCGCGAGCGTGACGGACCCCGTGCGCGCGCGCCTGAGCGGCGGGGAGAGCGCGGCCGCCGAGCCCGGCGAGGGCGCGGCGCCGCCGTCCAGCGCGCCGGCGCCGGCGAACGGCGACACGACCCGGGCGCCGCCGGCGCCCGTGACCGAAATCAAGCCTCCGTTTGCTGCCCCCACGCCTGCGTTCGTGTTGTCGTCGTCGCCGCCGCTGCCGTCGCCCTCGCCCTCGCCTGAGGCCTCGGCGATGACGACCTGCCGCATCCCGTTCGCGATCGCCGCGGCTGCCTCCTCGCGCTGCTTCTCCTTCGCGCGCAGCGCCAGGTATGGCAGCAGGATTTTGATGAAAGCCCAGGAGAACACCGAGATCGAGGCCGCCTGCAGAAGCCAGAGGGGCACTATCGCGTTGGCGATGACGCCAAACGCGACGCCCAGCAGGACGGCCGGGGCAACGACGAGGACGGAGCCGTAGTCGATGACGGGGCGGCGCTCGGGGTCGGTGGGGTGGTTCTCGGCCACCGCCATGCTGCAGGACATGATCGCGCCGAGGAACCTGCGCGGCGATTGGGTGCAGGGAGGGGGTGGTTGGGGCGGGCGCGCTGGGCAGGAGTCGGCCAACATTTCGGCCCGGGTCGCCCTGATTTCTGGCCATGCTTGAGGATGGTCGCGGGACCCCGAATGGTCCGGAAAGAGGCGCGCTGAGAGTTCCCTCTTCGTGTGCCCCTTACTCCGCTTGTTGTGGGCGCCCTGCCTCGCGTCCGCCGCCCCCTGTTTCGATCCACCCGCGAACGCTCACATCACGAACGAGACGATGGCGGCCGTGTCGCGAATGCTGAAGCCGAGCAGCACGTTGAACAGCGGGTAGTACAGCTGCGCGCCGCCGCTGCCGCCAGGCGCGATGATGAGGCTGATGCCGACCGAGCAGATCAGCGCCACGACCGTCCGCCAGTCCCAGGTCCAGTGGCGGTCTGCGCCGCCTGCCTGGCCGCCCGCGGCGTGCGGGGCGGCGGCCGGCGGCTGGGGTGTGGGGCCCGCAGGCGGTGTGATGGGTGGGGCGGCCGCCGGCGCGTCGGCGAGCAAGTTTCGGCTGGGGGCGGATGGCCGGGGGACGCGCAGTGGGGAAGGGGGTCTGCGTGTGAGTGCATTCTCCGAGGCAGGGCAAGGGTTGACCCACGAGTGGGCCCTTAACGAAGCGGGGCGGCTCTACAAACTTTGCAGATCTGCATGTGGCGTGCACCCATCTTCTTGACTGCATTTCTGCGCGCGCCGCGAGGCGCGCGGCGTGCGCACCTGAGCGCATGTGTGCGGCCTGGCTGCTCAGCCACAGTGCTAGCGAGCAGGACGGCTGCCAGCAGCGGGCCCAGCAGCAGCGCGCTGCGGGACTTCATTCTAGAATCTATCACTATTATTGCTTTGAAGGGTGGCCAGCACTACCGATAGCAGGCGTGTTGCACGAGCTTGGTCCGGGTGAGATCCAGGTGCCAAGCGGGTGACCGGAATGTAGAGTTGAGTGGGCGGGTCAATCTCTTTGAAGAATTTGAAATAAGGCGCGTGTGAGAAGAACCAGCTGTGACACACCGGGCTCTCGGGGACTGGACATCTTTTTGTGTGAGATTTAGAAATTAGTTCCTGGCGGTCTTCTGAACCAGCAAAGCCGGCCCCTACGTCCCCACAAGGTAGCGATATAAAGGTTTACATACGGTGAACATCTTCACGGCGGCCTACACACCTACCGAAACCCCTGCCAACCCGCGAAAGTACTCCAGGTGCGATTTGGCACACCGACCAGTGCACGGTGCCTGCAGCCCAGAGCTCACATTACAAGGTGGCTTCGACATCACCTTGTCAGCTGTATTAAGCAGGCACCCGCTAAGGAGCCACCCACGCCAGCTTGGGCGCACCGCGTGACTTTGGCCAGTGCCACCAGGTGGCGGGCGCCGACCACGACTGATGCCGCTCCGACCCTTTGCGTCTCCCCACCCACATGCCCCCAGGACCTTGGGAGCTCCCAGCAGCCGCGACAGCCGCCTCCGCCAGACAGCCACCCGAGCGGCGCCGCCCCCAACCCAGCTTCCCACTGCAGGCCCCCACCAGCCGCAGCAGCAGCCATGGTGCAGCCCGCCCAGCCCGCGGTCTCCGCCTTCGCGGCCGCCGCCGCCGCGCGCTTCGCCAGCTGCAACCTCTCCTTCACAGCCGAGCCGCTAGAGCTTGACGCCTTCATCGCGGCCGGCGCCGCCGCCGCGGCCGCGGCGCCGCCTGTCTCAGACAAGTTTGATCATAACGAGGAAGAGGACCACCTCGAGGAGCTCAACCCTGCCAACATGCGCCGCACCAGCCGCGCGACGAACGCGGCGAGCGTCGGCTACGCACGGACGCTGAGCACGGCGCTGGAGACGGCTGCCTCGACGCAGCTCGCGGACGGGCTTGTCGGTGGGCACGCGTCTCTTGCGCTTTTTGGGCAGCTGCGCTGCGGTACAATGCTGGGCGGTTGGGCGGCGCGCGATCTCGCGTGTCATCATCAACCCCCCGCCATTCCAGCTGCAGGCCGAGCTTGTGCACACACCGCGCCCGGCTCGGCTACAGCCCTACCTAGCGCCCGCGCTTGCACCGCGACACGAAGCTGCCACGGCCTCCGTCCCTCAGCCGCGCATGCCCCGGTCCCTTGCGGCCAACCCTCGCCCCGCCCCGCCCGCCGCCCGCACCACGCCCGACCCTCCTCCCCCTCCTCCCCAGGCGTCAGCGGCCCCCAGGGCAAGGCCCAGCCCTTCACCATCATCCGCGACCCCGCGGTCTGGACCGCCAAGGACTGGGCGGCCGGCGTTGACGAGCTCATCTTCCACGTCGACCCGGCGGCCGCCGCGGCCCTCAAGGAAGCCGCCGCCAAGTACATCGCATCGGGCGCGCCCCTGGCGGCCCTGAGGAAGCCCGAGGACTTCCCCCTGCCGCCGGAGGTCGCCGCGCGGCTGGCGGACGTGAAGCGGGAGCTGCTGACGGGGCGCGGCGTGGCGGTGCTGCGGGGGCTGCCGCTGGATGAGATGGATGACGAGGCGGAGGTGGGGGCGCAAGGGGGTGTGAGGGTGGGGG